ACAAGCGGCTACACTCACCATTTGCATAGCACGTTGCAGACGAAGCCAATATTCATCTATACTACTTGGAGGTTGCTAGCAAGCATTGACTGTAACAGCGTGGTATTCCAAAGAGCTAGCAGATACTGCCAGTTTGCTCACATCAACATTTGGACGAAGCCGTTTGTGAACCCCACCAAATCGCAAGACGAACCTGGCACACACTAAGGCATGATCGCAGTCCAGACATGTGATCCAGAAGGAGAAGCAGTCCTGTATTCACCCTAGCCATCGGAAACTGACAGCAATATGGTCAATCTGAATCCACGCTTGATTCTCAGAGAAAGGACGCCAGGTAGTGCTACGGCGATGGCTGTGCCGGAACTTGGTGCTGGCTAGAAATAGGTTGTGTTGCAGAAGACGGTCCCTACCATCTGATCTGCGACCGTGTAAACTTCACTGATCACCTAGACGACTCTCTTCTGTGCCCAGATGCCCGATCTGTGCATTCTAGTCCCCAGCAAGCAATACGATATCTCTCTGACAAGCCTGGTTCAGGAGATCGCTGAGTTGATAGTAAAACTCATCTTTAATCGAATCCGGGCTACAATCCGTCGGTGCATAGACAGAGACAACAAATAGACACCGCTTCTTACTCTCATATAAAGTTCCAGCCTCACAGCATATAAACGACTTTTAGTGGGGTTCAGTCGAGTAATCCAGCTTCGTCTCTAGCACTTAGTGCGTCACCGACACCAGATACGTCGGATGTCGATACCACAAGTTCGCCGAAAAATCGCGGGTGGTATATACTGCTGGAACCTTCAGATGGAGAGGATAATCGAAGCACTTCACTGGGATCTTGAATGTGGGTCTCCGAAATGCATAGACAACGATAGAGAGGCTTTCCAATGTTCTTACCGAATCTGCCTGTTGTCCGATTTGCATCAGTGTTCGGACATTGTAGGTGGCAAGCTTGAACGTGACATGCGGTTTCACGAAATTTGTGTTAGGTGTCGCACTGGGGACAACCAATTTGAAGGCTACTCACTGAAATCTAGAAACAGCACTGATAGGCTTGGAATTCAGACAAAGGTGAAAGGCTGACGAAAGTGAAGCCACCAAGGTTAACAAAAGTAAAATACAGGAGTCATGTATAAAAATAAAAGGAAGGTTGGAAAGCGATGTGTTACTTGAAAAGGCATTATTGTTTGAGAGCAACGTTAAGAGCGCACAATAAGTTTCACCGACAGCTTGTTGTTTCATTTCATTGATTGTGTGGGGACTGAGATACTGCCCGGGCGCCCACACCGAAGCAGATAGTTGTCTTAAAGGATCACCCCACAAGTCTTTGACATGGTGTCTAATCTCTAAGGCAGCGGAGCAGAGTCAGGAGCTACTTTCCCATGATGGCCGGTGACCAATACAGGTTCATATACCATTTGATCCAGTTGGATTCTGGAGCCCATGTACTTCATAGTGACTGCTTTTAGTCTAACCGCTTTCCAAGTAAGCTTCCTGCAGGAACATAAGTCCCAACCAATGTAGCTTGTTGGTATTCATGCCCAACCACCACGACAAGGTAGCAGTTGTCAACCGGGCGTAACCTGAGTGACTAGATAAGGATGTTTAGTTAAAATCTTGTAAACTCTAGGAATCAATGGCTGGAGACAATAGGTGACATGGCTCAAAATCGTTGTCACTGACGCAGATTTATTTAGTCTCTGTAATCTTTCATATTCCTTTCTACCATTACCCATTCTCTTTCACTCTTATACTTGTCAGACTGTATTGATTCGCTTCACTCATCTTCTTGTCTACCTCTGTGTGTTATTTGGAACGTGGCAACTCGAACTGCTGCACTTCGGTGCCAAGTTATATGTTGAATCCAGACAGACAGAAACTTGATGTAATCCTGCTTCCAATATCCAACTTACAGTAGTAAATTACGTCACAGAAATTTGGCTCACTGGGCTTAAAACATGACTTTATCCAGTGGGTCTTGAATTCATATTCTATTCCGCTTACTTTGGCCGGAGAAATTAAGTGGTACTAATAGCTCATAGAATAAAATGTGACATATCCAGAAAATAAGTTCTAATAACAAAAGTTATAATAGAACTGATGTCCAATACATAAATCGTTCGCCGAATGTTTCTGTCATAATTTAGGCAGCAAGTGTGGTGATAAAAAGACAATTACCCATAATTCACTCATGAAAGTCGGGAGTTACCTGTGATTACTGCGATAATGTGATGACTAAGCAGTTATCTTATGGCTCAACTAGTATAGCGCTAGACGAGGTATTTGGAGGCGGTTGGTTCGAGTCCTGATACGACTTGCATTTTCATTTCACTCTAAATCATCACTCATTAAAATGGTAAGTCTGCCAACGTAAGACTATTTCAGATTGCCATGTGATCAGTTTTATATATCCAGCAATATTAGCTCCACGTATGTGCTAGACGCCCCTTTTTGAAGAAATCTTAAAAAATGTGTAGTTAACACTTTTTATCTTGAGGTCTTCGTTAGAATGATGTTGATTTGCATTTAAAAGGAACTCGTTATGAAACTGTATTTCGAGTTTAGTGAAAATCACACAAAGCAATCTCGGAAACAAAAAATGAGACAATGGAAAGATTTTAAAAGGTAATAAGTATCAGTGAATGGACAGCAGCTTCATTGTTCGTATGATTCTGGGGATCTTGCAGATTAAGTGGCGGTTTTTATTATACTCTAATGAGATACCGAAACTCAGCATTAACTACTTGTTATAATACGCACGCAGCACTAGAGACAGTTTATCAGACTATTGGAAATCTTTTGCTAAGTGAGAACAAGTTCAACAGAGGTGAGGAACTGTTTCAGTTGGTTATTATATAAGTGACATTTTACAACCACGTGAAATTAACCGTGACATTTCAAAGTGCATCTGTATATTACAGTTTTCACTACTCAACATCTATAATACTATTGTCTAAGAAACTTTCAACTGTTTTCAACGACTGAATAATGCGTATTCTACTAAATAAGTAGTTATTTATAAATGAATAACGCGAAATAAGCACTCTTCGGGTGTTTTTTAACTAACTGGATTCAATTCCCTACTTTTGGTCAGTTGTCGAACTGTATTAAATTAGTAATCGTATAACTAAGGTCAGACACTACCTCCAAATAAGAGATATGCAGCAACACATCATCCTTCTTCTATGGCTAGCTCGGGAATGCCATTAGTCCTTAGGTAATTGAGAAGCAAACAAGGTGAAGACTACATCCCTTTTTCCAAAGAAATATACACACATTGTAAAAAAAATTTTAAACCCCGGACTGCTCAGGAAGTCAATGCAAAAGTTTTTGAATACAAGATCTTAACAATGCGTAAAAGTGAAACTTTTTCGCAATCCCACAAAGATCACCACTTTATTCTCAAGTTTAAACTTAGTCCCTGCTAAAGCTTTACATAATAGTCTTCAAAACATTAGATTCTGAGAAGCAATTCATGAGAAAATTTTATCTAGCAGATGAATGACTTGTGAAGTTGAGATCCTCTTTATTTAGTGTGCATAAGCCCATAATTCTCCACTTTTCCAATAACTGCAAGCTGCAGTTACATTTTTGCCAACAAATACAACATGAAAAATACGTTTAACAGTGATTACAATAATAATGACTTTGATACAGTTAGAAATTCTCAGCATGAAGCACAATGCTGCATTTAATTTTCACTTTACGCTTTACCGTAAAGAATAAAACAATTGGTAGCAACATTTGCATTCATAATAATTTCAATAAAAACATAAGTGTTAAGCTGAAACTATTTGCTGCGGCGATACATATACTAAAAATTGGAACGATACAGAGAAAATTAGTATGGCCCCTGCTCAAGGATGACACGCAAAATCGTCAAGCGTTTCATATTTTCTATGCAACATATGTCACACCATCTAGAATGCTGCAAACAAGCGGTAAGTCCATGCTTCAAAAAGGAGGCACATATCCTGGAAACAGTATAGAGGGTAGGAACCAAATTAGTTAGTGGCATCTAACACCTTCCTTATGATAAGACTATGGAGTACTTAAATCTCTTCCCATTATCATACCGAAAGAAGAGAGGATACTTAATTTTGGCATACCGTAAACTAAAATGTGAATTAGGGATTGACTTTTAAAACCTTTTTTCACCCTCTAGGATACATTTATGCGGTCACCACAAGGTCATCAAACCAAGGTCGAACAAAGTACGGCTGAAATTTAGATTCTCTGACGGAGTGGCTAACGACTGGAACTCCTTACCTGATTCAGTAGTAACGGCTCCATCGTTGAAAGCTTTCAAAGAGGAACTAGATCTCTGCAAAGGTATATGTCACAAGGATTAACATAGGCAACATGAGCCTTCTATCCTTATAATCTGAATCTACAATTTTAAAGGGATAATGACCCGTATATTAATGATAGGAAGAATAAAAACGGCCGTTTATTCACTCTTTTCGTAGTTATTATTTTCACACCTAACGCCTCAACACAGGATATACGTGCGAAATAAGGCATTGTCGAGGTTTTTAATCTTGTCGTGTGACCATCAAATCCTTCTTGGTTACTTTTCAACTTATATGGGGTGATGCAAGGAGAGTTGAGGATACAGAGGGTGCTGAGGTCATGAAAAGCTAATTGCCAATTTCTTGTAGGCGTTCGAGTGTGTCAGTGGAAATATCACCAAGCTATTCAAGGGGAGCCACACGCCCTGCCGGTAGCAACCAACTTCCTCATTAACAATCCATTTTGTAGTCCATTTAAGACGGAAATGATAAATATAAAAGAATTGGCAAATTCTAAGTTTCAATAAATTGTAAGTCACAGCGGAGAGATAATATATTGTCCTAACTTTCCTATACAGAGGCTTACATGGATTGTTTTAGACATCTAGGACTTGCAGGAAAAATCAAGGAGAAGACTATAGACGTATGATAATCATCTACACACGATTCTTAAAAATTTTTAATTAAACCCGAAGTTGAACGAACCGATATAGCAAGCAATTATCTGAAGGAAGCCGGATTCAAAATAACGAAGAATTATTCTCCGGTGGCTGAAAACCTCTCGTACTATTTTATACCGTGCATCTACTATTTATCAGCACAATGGACTTCCTCATGACAAAGCACACAAGGTTCATAGTCAGAAAGAAAGAAACTCACCTTATATATCCTGTCAATGAATTCGCAAGCAGTCTTGGCTTTCTCGAAGCATACACAAAAAGGTATTAGAAATACTTCAACCACGGCCAAAATAAATGCCATGGGCCAAGCGAGAAACCATATCAGTAACCACACGACTGACCAACATAGTCCTGGACACCAACTGGTTTTATTCTAGATTATTATAGTCAAACGGATTAGACACACTCACAGATGTCATCTTCATAATGCAGAGTGACAACGACCTTGACTGTGTATCCTAATTTCAAAAAGGCGAACTATATCCAATATCCAATATCCTGATTACGAGCTAGTATAAACCAGTGATTTCTTCGAGCTCGCTTCTTGATTGTGAGGTAGAGGTTCCAGATCTTCGGTGAGCTTTTGCGTAATAAGTCCCGCCACTCGACTGCTTTAGCTCTGGTAGACTCCAAGAGGAGTGGTGCGGGGATTGGTCGAGATGTGGTTTGTAGTATGCAGTATGTTAGGACTGTGTTGCTGCCGTGAATGGAGTTTGACCTTACTCCCGTTGGTCATTCGGTGTAGTCATAAAAGCAGAATAGTAATAATTATAATAGGTTGTAGTGTAGATAACATGGGTTGAGTTAAATGAAATAATAAAGGTGACCTAAGGAAAAGATAGAGTAGTCGGTACAGTGACAGAAGGCAGAACAGGTCGTGGGGATTTAGTTTGTACGCTTATCCATTGACATTGCGGTTTTAAGTTTTATGAGGATAAGCCATTGAGACACAAACCTTGCATTTCTGCATGATTGTCTAGCTTCCGCTTAAAAATCTCCACAGATGGCGCTGTAGTCACGGCCGCCGGTAAAGCGTTCCAGAGACGAAAAACTCGAAGCGAAAAGAAATGTGATCGCACTCGAGTCTTTGGTCTCTGGTGTGCTATCCTCGGAGGGTTACCTCGTGGAAGCCTATAATCACTTAAAGGCAGGATGCTTTTATTTGGGTGGGCCTGGTCATTTAGGATCTGGTAGACGGTGCCTTCGGTAACTAAGTGTGAAAAGACCTAATTTCTTTAGTCGTTCCTCGTATGATTTGTTGCGGAGGCCGATCACCCATTTTGTCGCTCGCCTCTGGACACTTTCTAGAATGTTAGGATCCCTTTTGAGTAGCGGAGGTGCAATGATATTATGCACCTCAAGAAGTGGCCTCATATATGTTCTGTATAACCTTAAGAACAGTTCGGGAGTAAGAGCTCTCAGCTGCCTATGCATAAAGTGTAAAGTTACGTAGGCTTTGGCGACGTCCCTCCTGTAATTTCCACTGCTGTCTAGCTTTTCTGTTAGAATAAGACCCAGGTCTCGCTCTGATGGAACACAACTCAAGTTCTGGCCACCAAGGGTGTAATTTACACTCTGTGACCTACCGGAATAAAGTTGCACTACTTTGCACTTCGTTAGGTTGAAAGGCATTCCGTTAGCCAGAGCCCAGTCTCCCAGAGTTTGCAGGTCAGCCTGCAATCTATCTGATTCTCCCAATGAGTTTATTGCTCTCCAAATCTTTACGTCGTCAGCGTAAAGAAGCGCAGAGCAGTTTAGTTGGGGGGAAGGTCGTTGATAAAAATCAAAAACATCAACGGCCCTAAGATAGGACCCTGAGGAACCCCTGATGCCAAGGTGTGCCAGGATGACCGGATGCGGTTGCCTTTGGTGCAGTATTTTCTCTCGTGCAAGTAATCTTTTAGCCATCGAGAAGTGCTCCAGAGCTGATTGGCATCCAATATCCAACATCGTTTTTACGAGCTAGTATAAACCAATTTGATTTTCTTGTGCTCGCTTCTTGATTTTAAGGTATAGGTTCCTGATCTTCGGTAAACTTCTGCGTAGCTCGTCCCATCACTCGACTGTCGTAGCTTTGGTTGACTCCAAAGGGAGAAGTGCTGGGATTGATTGTATGTGGTTTGTAGTATGAGGTGTGTTTAGACTGTTACTACTGTGAATGGAGTTGATCCTTTCGCCAGTTAGTCCTACGGTATCGTCGACAAGAGAAAAGAGATAGTAATAATAATGCTAATAATAGATATAATTAGTGAAGTTATTCAGACTAACAGACAGAAAAGGAAATGGGAAAGCGTAACAACAGTCAGCTGATTAAATTTGAAGAAAAATATGAATAATATATATAGGTAATAATGATAATAATAATAATAAGTGCAGTTAAAGTTGTCAGGAGAGTAAGATGGGGGAGAATGTAAAGAAGTAAAACGACGAGTTTAATTGTCTACCCCTGAATGGTGTATGCGATTTTAAGGGGATAGGCCATTTGGATGCAGTCCTTGTGTCGCTGCGTGGTTGTCCAGCCTTCGCTTAAAGGCGTCCACAGACGGTGCCATAGCTACATCCACCGGTAAGGAATTCCAGGGATGGCAAACCCGCAGTGAAAAGAAGTGGGAGCGCACCCGGGTCCTTGCCCTCTGGTGAGCTATCCTTCTGGGATTTCCACGTTGGAGCCTATACCTACTCAATGGCAGAACACCTTTGTTCGGGTGATTCTGGTCATTTGTTATTTTGTAGATAGTAATTAAATCCCCCCATAAGCCGTCGGTAGCTAAGTGTGAATAGGCCTAGTTTCTTCAGCCTTTCATCATATTGTTTATTTCGGAGACCAACCACTCCTTTTGTTGCCCATCGTTGGACTCTTTCCAAGATGTTGGCGTCTCTTCTCAGCATTGGGGATGCAATAACATTACGCACTTCAAGGTGTGGTCTGACATATGTTTTGTACAATCTTAGAAAGAGTTCAGGAGTTAGTGCACCTAACTGTCTATGTGTAAAGTGTATGACCGTATATGCCCTCGCTACATCCCCCGTGTAATTTACGCTTGTAGTTGTTGGGGACTGTCATCACCCGGTACGTTCGAATCAGTTGACGCTTTTGCACGTGTTTTCGTTTATATTCTTTAATTGGTTACTATTAATTGGTCTGTAGTAACAATAGTCCAAAATTCTAAAAAGCGTGTTTATGTGAACACCCTAATTTAGAAAATAACACCAGCTTGTCTAATAACACATTACCACCCCATATTATAAGTAGTTCACCCAACATAAAAGACTCGAACATAATTCTGACCCCTGTAATACAGGTGGAAGATGTTCTGTCTGAAAAAGTAGAGCTCTCTTACTTAACATGCGTAATTAAAGAGATTCAGCCACAGATAGATGAATTAAAAACGCAATTAAGTTCACTGGAATGTATACCCGAAACTATCTCACATATGAAAAAGGAACTACAGGATCCTACAATCCTAAAGCTTTTTAATATGACTTCTAAAATGACTCATACTGACTCAAAAAATGCGACGGAGTTAGAAAACGCCACCGACTTTCTATCCAGCGAAGTTGTTAAAAGGCTGGCTTCAAAACGGAATGCAATAGTGTATAATGTATCGGATAGGAAGCCCATAAAGTCAGTCCACCACTCATTGCTGAAAGCTGTAAATCTCTTGAATGCACCCTGTCAGTGCATTGGCCTAAGTAAAAGAGACCTTAAGCATCCTTGTTCTATACTCTTTAGGTTTGACAGCTACGTAGTAGCTGAACGATTTAAGATCTTCTGGCTACTGCCACTAAATTCAGGACTATCAAAATAGTCACGGATAAAACACCTAACCAAATGCAAGCAACTAAGAACTCCTTCGATACAAAGTTGACAACATCTCGTATGAGTGCTAAAGTGTCGACGGACAGTGAAGCACAGCAAGTCACGTGTATAGTGTTGGGAGAAAAAGCGGCAAGTAAAAGCGACCCGAAACTCAGTAAGAGCAGCGTCACTGGGTGCGATCTTGGAGTACATGAGAGCACATGACCTACATGAGGTTGACATAGACGCACAAACTATGGCTGACCAGTAACCACTGGCAGACCACACTCAATCTGGATCCAAGCCAGAGAGTCCCGCAGTGGAAACTGCGAGAAAGACCACAAAGCCCAGAGTCCCACCCCAGACTTCGACATACCTCCCTCGTAATAAGTCTAATAAGCAGCATGTCAGTCTAAAAAGTGACAATGCATGGGTAACGAGGCACATTCCCAAGAACGTCACGCACCATGTGAGTTAGAATATCCCCTTCCTGAACTAGAAGTTTCATGCCTAACAGCGCACATAACTTGGGAATGCAACGTAGAATGGATCCTCAGGATATATGGAGCACTAAACGGGACTCATATAGGCACCATAATTACGAAAATTCTCGTCGAAACTCTCGCACTATTTTAAACTCCATCAACATAATGAGCATGGGTCGACACTTGATCCCCCCAATAACTTCACTCACACACGTGATGTGAGCCAATATGCATACGACTATGAAAGCCCCATGATGTACAACTACCAAGGTAATCTTAACACAGGGTACCTGGGTCCGGCAAACTTCAACGCAAATCGCAAGGCAGACCATATTTCACCCGTAGATGAACGCAGATTCCGACCCATGGATGCTAAAAGTTAAAACATGCAACAGGATTGTTTTCGGCTGCAGCAAACAATAGCCCCACTCGCTGTACAATTCATCCAGGAAATAGTACACACACTGACTCTGTCTCACCTCAGAGCCCCTCCAGACATAACGTGGTCGGCCTGCAAAATTTGGGCTACCGATATCCATGCTGAAAATTCCATACTTGTACCAAAAATACAGTGTGGAATCAAGATGTAAATCAAAAAAAGTAACCATGTTAACCTTTCCTCTAACAACTCTGGTTTACTAACAATTATGCTCCTGAATGCTAGATCTCTCCTTAATAAAATAACAACGCTTCGTTGCCTGGCATACATAGAACGGCCAGCACTAATAATGGTGACTGAAAGCTGGCTTACTACTGATATACCTGACACAAAGCTGGTAATAGACAACTACGACATCTTTAGGAACGATAGAGTAGACAAAAGAGGAGGCGGTTGCTTAATATATGCCTATAAATCCACTTACTCCAACACTTTCAATAACCCAAATACTGACAAACTCCCAGAATCTAAGTGAATAAGCATCCACACAAACAAAAGCAAAATTCTCGTGGGATGTATATACAGACCCCCCAATAGCCCTGAAATGACTGATATAACTATTGCAGAAACACTAGAGCATGTAGCCACGCTGGACTTCGATTACAAAGTAGTATGTGGAGATTTCAACTAACCTGGAGTAAACTGGGATACTTGTACAGGACCTAGAATCCATGGCGAGCTACTACAAGCTATAGACATAGGAGGATGGAAGCAGTGCGTACGCCTCCCTACAAGGAACCAAAATACTCTTGACTTAATCTTC